AGCAGGTATTTTACTCTGAAGTTACGTACGCGCATTCACCAGGATCTCTGTACAAGAGCTACACCGCGTGTTTAGTTCCAGTGTCAGATGGAGCTGTTTCATGTCCAAGCTCTGCTCAGCAGAAGTTGAAGGTCTGTACCACTTTCACTACACATGCATCTTCCCTTCTGCAAAACCTGTACAATAAAATGGCTTTACATTCATGGATGTACTAAAAAGTTTCTGATAATGCTGGGGACACTCTGATATCACAGTCTGTACCTGTTTGCCAGGACTCTATATATCAAACCGATTTAAGTTGTACGTGGTTGGATAGTTTTGCCGGCTATACTGGAAGTGGTCTGTTAGGATATTGGTTCGACCATACTGATAGTCTCCGTGTGGTGCAAATGCAGTAAGTCCGTTCTGAGACTTCTCGGGAGTGTTCCGATGCCGGTCTAGGTTCACAAGGTCTCCAGTTGTAACTGGAAGTAACTGCTTCTTTGCCTCTTGGTTTGCATCGTATTTGGTCTGCGAAAGAAAGAAGGAATGTTTTTCTCAGATACCACCTAACACATTCATACACCTAGCAGGAAGCATCTGGTTTTACAATTACACTACTGTCTATCCCTGCTAAGGGTCTACTAGTGACTTCTAACAAAACCCTCATTCCTCTCACAAGCCAAATCAGTAAACTGCTCTTTTGCTGAAGAGCTTGGTGTATGTTACTTAACAATCTTCATTTGTCAGGAGAATCCGAAGATCAAAAGTCACATTGTCAGGGGCTTGGCAGCTGGCCTCACCCAAACACCCGCACACTTTGCGTTGGTGACACACAGACCTCCTTGCAATGAAGTTTTATACCATGCATTCTGTGTGTTTGTTCTGCTAGCAAGTTCCTTGTGGTACAAAAACGAATGTGAAGCTACTGGACTGTGTCAAGTGAGTTTCCTGAATAAACCCCCTTACCTTGTTATACAAGAAGACCCCCAGGATGGCTGTCATCATCCCAAGGACGTTGGTGCTCGTAACCGGATTGCGAAGCATTATAAGGGACACTGTGATGACCATGATTCGTTTGGTGGCATTTGCGACCGAGTAACTTAGCGGGCTGATCAGATTCAGGATACTGAAGGCAATGACATTCTGGGCAAAGTTACAGAATCCACTGATAATAAGCAGCATCAAGGTCCAGGACCAGTGAGACATCGTACTCTGTTATAAAGACAAACATCACAAGGGAAGAAATTATCTCAGGTTGCAGATAAGAGACGAAGAAACACAAACACAACTTGAGTCATTTCTTACTTGCCACTGACAGAAGAATGTCTGCAACTTAACTCTAAAGAGGCACCCGAGTACGTTACATTACACAGCTCCTGACTTCGCAAGAACCTCTCCACATCCCTGTGACACCCACTCAGCTGCATTTGTTCCTCTCTCCAGCTACTGATTCCTGAGATTTACATCACAACGTAAGCTGCCTCTAACCCTGATGTGAATTCTTACAATGGATTTTCTAATACTCTTTGGTGAAACAGTTTACAAGCGTTTCACAACAGTTCCTTCCACACAGAGGAAGAACTACACTGGAACACTTAAGGGCACTTTGGCTGAGCGATGGTGTGTGTTAGTTTTGTTTTCTTTTCCTCTTTTCTTTCTTAATAGGGAACAGTTTCCCAAACACAACACTTACCAAGTCATTCTCCACTAAGAAGGAAGAAAGATCTACCAAAACCCACGTTGGGATCATGAAGAACACAGCATGGCACCCGAGTATGTTCAGCAACCGAAGATGATGTATTCGGGAGTCTCTTAACACCTAACAAAAACCATCATTAAACATGATGTTAGCCTTTCCTCAGCTACCACCCATGTTATCAGCAGAGTAACAGTGACAGCTTTAAATGACAGATAAATGCTGAAAATAATTAAATACTGTTACAGTAGGAGTTTTCTATAGGGATTACTAAAGAAAACCAAACATGGATTAAAGGAAGGGCTCAGGGAACAATGAGTTCTGCCTTATTTTCAGTGCAACATCTTCAACAGGTTCTACAGAGCTGTAGAGAACAGGCAGACAAAACAGCCGTTAGCTGGGGCTCCTTCGACTGCAGAGTTAAGTTAACAGGATATATGGACTGGAAAATGCACTCATTCTGTCCTGCTCCAGGCTGCTGCCCCATGCGATGAACAGCAAAACCCTCACCTTCTTCGAGAAGATGTTCTGAAGTGAGAAACACAGCGTAGCCGCAAGTGCGCTGATGAGCCCCCACATGTCAAAGGAAAGCTCCGTGACGGTGGCCAACAGGACACCGGTTATTATGGGGATCAGAGACAAGTACACCTGGAAGAGGAACAGAGAGGAGCACCTTTCATTGCCACTGAGTTTATACAGAACGCTGACGTGGGGAGGAAAGGAGAAGGAAGAATAAAGCGACAGAACCAGGGGTCAACTTTTATACTACTGGAATTCAAGGAATTCCTGCCCTGTGAGGGTGCTGAGGCGCTGGCACAGGGTGCCCAGAGAAGCTGTGGCTGCCCCATCCCTGGCAGTGCTCAAGGCCAGGTTGGACACAGGGGCTTGGAGCAAGCTGCTCCAGTGGAAGGGGTTGGAGCTGGAGGAGCTTTAAGGTCCCTTCTAACCCAAACCCTGACTCTAGAGATGGCTCCCACAACTTATTTTGAATAGCAAATGTCGTTTCTCTCATTTCAATCACAAACCTTGCCCCCCTTTCCCGATCCCAGCCAGCAGAGCACACCACAAGCACCACCAGAAGAAAGACCCACAGCAAACCTGCCCGCACCTTCGTTGTCTGCTTCTCCTTCATAATGATCCGCGACAGAAGAACCACCCAGATCGGCATTGTCGCTTTGACTGGGGACGGAAAGAGAACACTGGTGGGGATGTGAACCTCGGGCCAACTCCAGCAACCCCCCTCAGTGGAGGGGGTGCACTGGGGATGGAGGAAAGGCCTCGGTCCAGGTCCACTGAAGCCACAACCTCAGCGGGGTCTTCCTCCTGCCGCTGTGGCAGGCACTCGCTGGCTGGTTCCTGGTGCTCTGGGTCACCGCACCGGGCACTGCAGGCACACGGATCCAGGCCTTTGGGTCACCGCACCGGGCACTGCAGGCACACGGATCCAGGCCTTTGGGTCACCGCACCGGGCACTGCGGGCACACGGATCCAGGCCTTTGGGTCACCGCACCGGGCACTCCAAGCACACGGATCCAGGCCTTTGGGTCACCGCACCGGGCACTCCAAGCACACGGATCCAGGCCTTTGGGTCACTGCACCGGGCACTGCAGGCACACGGATCCAGGCCTTTGGGTCACTGCACCGGGCACTCCAAGCACACGGATCCAGGCCTTTGGGTCACTGCACCGGGCACTCCGGGCACACAGATCCAGGCCTTTGGGACACCGCACCGGGCACTGCAGGCACACGGATCCAGGCCTTTGGGTCACCGCACCGGGCACTCCAAGCACACGGATCCAGGCCTTCGGGTCACCGCACCGGGCACTGCAGGCACACGGATCCAGGCCTTTGGGTCACTGCACCGAGCACTCCAGGCACACAGATCCAGGCCTTTGGGTCACCGCACCGGGCACTCCAAGCACACGGATCCAGGCCTTCGGGTCACCGCACCGGCCCCCATATGAGCACAGCTGGCACCGGGACACCCCCCCCCGGGCCCTCACCTGTGTGCGCGTAGGAGACCGGGACCCTCCAGAGCGAGACGTGCGCGGACACGGACGCGAAGTACTTGCCGAAGGCGAGCGGCAGGATGTAGCGGGGGTACGCGCGGGGCGGCAGCTGGGCCGGGCCGGCGGGCGGCACCCGCCATGCGCGCAGCAGCGGCGGCAGGAGCCCGCAGAGCCCCAGGATGTGGAACAAGGAGACGGTGACGGGCCGCGGGAAGCCGCCGAGCAGCAGCTTGTTCACCACGTTCCCGCCCGCGCTCAGCCCGTACCAGGCCAGGCACAGCGCCGACACCCGCGCCCCCTCCCGCAGCGCCGGCCCGCGCCCCCCCCGCCCCGGCCCCGGCCCCGGCGCCGCCGCCGCCCCGGTGCCCCCCGGAGCCGCCAGCGGGGCCGCCATGGCTCCGCGCCCCGCCGGAACGTCACCGCCGCCAACGCGTCGCTTCCCGGGGCGGGGCCGCGGTTACGTCACTTCCGACGCGGCGCCTCCCGCCGGGTCCCGGGGCGGCCTCGGCGCTCGGCGGCGGCCCCAGCGTGGAAGCGGAACGGGCACGGACCGGGGACCGCGGGCTTCAAAACCACGTCCGTGAGGGGTTACAGACCACAGGGTCTGTAACGAGCCCCGTCTGCACCGCAGGGAACGGCGGCAGCCGCTGGCAGGAGAGGGCAGGACGCTGAGTGCGAGTCAGGGGCAGGGAACCGGAGCCGAGCACAGAGCACGGACAGGGGAAAACCTCACCGGAACTCGCTTACAGAACTAAAGCAGCGCCCGGTAACCTCGGCCACGGCCCCCTGGAGCTCACCTTGTGTGGTCAGGGCTGGACGGGGGTTGTCACAGCCGCAGCTCGCCGTGGATGACACCCGAGGGAGTTGCCCTGCAAGGGCCGTGGCTTGCAGCAGGGAGGAGCGGAGGAAAAGACGCAGCAGAGCAGGAGCCTGCTCCTCAGCAGGGCCATTGAGAGGAGGAGGCAGGAGGAACAAGATGCAGTTTTTACACTTCCCAAAAGGGGCCAACTTTTGAACCCTCTGCCATCCAATCCAGCTCCGGGACAGCTCTAAACCACCCCATCAGCTGCAGGACACTGGAAGGAAACTGAACACACACCTGGAAACACCCCTTTGGTAACTGCTGCGTCTGGTTTTGCTCTCAAACCCTCCCATTTCAGAAGTGGAAGCAGACAAAACATCAGCGTTTCTGAGAGCCACACATCTCAGCACGGTCAAGTCACAAAAGCAGGCTTGAACAAGAGAAGAGACACAAACCTTGTCAGCTGTGTTCCAGAGAGCGACCCAGCTTCACACACACCCAGCAAGGAAACCAGGCAGGAGCCTGACTGCTCCGGGAGTCTTGGCAGAGCTCCTGTCCACAGCAGTGGGATCCAGCACCAGCGGGATGACGGAGTCAGAACAGCGCTCAACCCAGGGTACTTTTGGTGCAGCACTGCCTCCCTGTCTGACTGCAGCACACAAACAGTCCCCTATTAAAGCAGTCACAGTTAACAGCGCTTTCTGTACCAAGCCAGGGCCGCTTCAAAAATCATTTTAACAAGTAGGAATAACCCATTAAAAGCCATGAGGAGAAAAAGCTGACCATGAAGCAGTCAGGTTCTCAGTCTCATGGGTGCAACAAGAGCTTATAAACCTCTGTTGAACCTGTGTGATTGAACACCACCATCAGCCACGAAAGACACCAGGCCCACCCCTGCCAGTGTCACCTGGTATTCATTCCATCCGTCCATCCTTCCATCCATCCATCCATCCATCCTTCCATCCCACCGCTCCAAGAGCTCCTCAGCGCCGCTCACGACTGGCGGAAAACCAAAAGCTGAGCATCAAGAATCCACAAAGTGGTTTGTGCAAATTTTCTTTATTTCCACATTTATATCACAATGTGTCCACTTAAAGGACCAAATAGCAAAGTTGCTCCCTTCTGCATCCCAGGAACACAGAAGTCTGGTTACTGTACATTCACTAAGGCTCTTTGTTTTTGCAAATTGCGTTTATGATGGATATCCATAAGGCAAACAATATCTAAAGGAATGGTAACAAGTATATTTCCAGCATACAAACAGGCTTCCTTTTTCCCTCTCACAGTACAGTTACAAACTTGTAGCACCCTCATTACATTTAGGTTCTAGAAAAGGTGATTTTTGTTAATTTTTTTTAATTTTTTTTTTTTTGCTTTTTTTGTGTTTTTTTTTTTTTCTCTTTTTCCTGGAAGTTTGCAGGAAGGGAAAAGGAGGAAAAATATTTGGCTGGAGGTGGTGGGATCAAAAATATCATTCAACATCTAGGTTGTTTTGTTTTGTTTTTTGCAGCATTTCTCAGAGACTGGATTTAAACTGAAACCAGACTAAAATATGTGGATGCCTATGGAATGTTGAGCTGAAGCTGGGCTCCCAGCCTGCAGTGCAACACCGGCTGTTTAAAACCCAATCTCCGTACCACATGACTTGGAAAAACCAAACCCCCCCCCCCGCCCCCCCCCCAAACGCAATCATGTTCAGAGATGTGACAAATAAAACTACAGGGTTTGCACATTGTCTCTCCAATATCTCACTGCCAAATAAAACCCCAAATCAAGTCAAATAAATAGATGCATATTTTTGTTAAGGTAACTTCCACAATTTTCTCTGTACCTGCCTGTAATCAGATTCCGGCATTCAGAAAGTGCTGGAAATCCTCTTCCTTCTCGGGGACTAACACTTTTTTTATAGCTGGCTTGCTATAAGGAGTTTGGAACTCAATGGATCAACCTTCGTATGCCTTCCTTTGCAATTGTTAGTAAACTGGTAGCAGCATTTCACAAAAGGAGAATTGAAAGGACAGAGCTGGAGCGAGCCAGCTCCCTCCCACCCTCTGCTCGTTGGGCCTGGTTGTCCAGGACAGGAGCTTTCTCCATGTGGAAGTGGCATCGCGCCTGCCGGTTTTGCTAACTGCAGATGTAACAAGCATTGTGTTTAGCAAACCTGGAGCTCAGTCTAGGCAGACGTAAGGCAGGATGTTCAATCTACCATCATCCCCGTGTGGATCTAAAGATATGCACTGTGTCCAATCATACCAGTTACCCTGTGTGTCGTAACAACCGTTCACGCCTGGCCACTGATGTTCACATATTCTGTCGAGGTCATCGCTTGTGACCTCCCTTGTGACCCCAGGCAAGTCTGTAGGTTTGCTGTTAGGAGCTAGAACATGAGTCTTTCTAGCCTCTTTTCTAGTGCTTTCCTCCTGCTTTAAATACTCAGACATGAAGTAGTGAGCTCCTGGAGTCTGTACTCCTGATGAAGACAGCAAGCTACTCTGTCTGTTTAAATATGACTGAATGATTTCGTTTCTGGACAACTCTTTCCAGTTCGTTTGTTCAAAAGGGCTTTGCAGGTTGGGTTTTTGCTCCTGCTTTTCCGTGTCTGTCCTGTGCTGCTCGGTAAGCGCGGGGATTTCTACCTGCAAAGGATCTTTCTGTGTTAAAGGTTTTATCTGTCCTGTCATGGGATCAAAAGTGAGCTTTCTCTCTTTTAACCTCACCGGTTTCACACCCCCTTCTGTCACGTGCCCATCCAAGTTGACAGTATAGTCTCTGGGTCGGTACCTTTTCTTCTTTTTGCTATCGGAACCCGAAGCAGCATCATCGCTGTCCATTTTGGAAGTGTCCTGTGAAAAGCCTGTGTGTGGCGTGAGAGATTCCCCAGGCTGGGAGCTGGTTTTGCAGCTGGGAGCTGTGTGCTGTTGGAGGGTCCCTGCTGGGTGCCTGTGCTGGCTTTCCGAAGGTACCTGCTGCTCCGGCCAGTGCTGAGACACCTCAGCTACCGCCTGCTGAGAGAACTCCAGTCTTTTCGCTGGCAAGGGAGGTGTTGAAGGTTGCATCAAGGATGGTGGTGGCGATGGCACCTGTGCAGTGTCTAAGAACTGAGACCTTTGAGACGGACTGGGCATCGAATCCTTTGGTGAGTACGTCGTATGCTGCCGAGCAAAAGCATCATGCCTGACATTTCTAGGGCTAAAGGAGGAACAGCGAGGACTCTTGGGCTGGTGCGGTCCTGTGGCTTCTTCCGATTTATCATGCTGCTGAAGCACTGCAGTCTTTAATAACGAGGAAGTGCTTGAAGGTTTTACAAGTCCTGGAGAACTGGTGTGAGGTTTTACAGCGTTTACTGGGATTTTATTGTGTTTATCGTTTTCACTGAGTTCTGTCCTACTGCCTTCAGGCCCTGCGTGTAGGTTTACATCTACAGGGCTAGGGAAATTCTCAGGACTGCCCCCGATTCCATTGGTTGGAGGGGGCGAAGAGTTTTGTAATACTTCATGACTAGCTTTGGAGACTTTTGGGGGAGGAGGGCCCTGATGCCCGTCCCTGTGTTCACCTTTCCGTTTCCGATTCCCTAACTTCTCGGGTTTGGGAGAGTTTAGTTTCTGGATATCATTCCTGCTTTTCAACTCGCTGATGGGCTTCGACCCGGGCACGGCAGGAAGCTGCGCTTCTGCTTTGCAGTTGTGAGCGCCGCCGTTCGCCGAGCCGGGCGGGTTGGGCAGCCCCCGCGGCACCGCGTCGCTCTGGGTTACAGGTTCTATCAGCTTCTGCCAATTCCGCAGCAGCTTCTTGGCACGTTTGGCAAGCTCCTCATTGGATGTCTTCTTCCTCACCTCATTGATGAGCCTCCCAAGCCTTGTTTCCTACAAAGAAAGAGAAGTCCTTTTACAACCAGGTATCATTGAACAACATCCTCAAGGCACACTTCTGCTTTGTCATGTTTAGCCTTGGAAATACCAAGTTAAACCCCACTAAATACTGACGTGTTGAATTGAGCTTTTTGGAAAGGATTAGTCCAGTTGGGCCAGTGCTCTGCTGCACAACGTGAAACCCACTGTGGGTTTCAAGCCATCCTGTCTTTATGCCCTGGCTGAAGCACCAGAGCCGTGAGCTGTGAAAAACATCCGTAAGGAATTCCTTAATCAGCAAGAACGGTGAGAATAGAGGTGCTGAGGGGAAATGCAGCACCAGAGGCAGAGAAGGTGCGCCTGGTCCCAATGAAAGGGTAAGATCTGCAGAAAGAGGCAAGAGAAAAAGACTCCAGAAGCTTCACCCGTTACAGCAGTGCACTGACAATGTCCCCGTGTCACAAACCTGCCCAGCCAGGGCACGACTCGGGTCCTGCCTTCCTCCTCCAGCTCTGCTCTCCCTGCACTCCCCAGTATCTTGAAAACGTATGAAATCTGATTTCAGCGCGCGTCGCTGGGGCGGCCCAAAGCGGTTCCGTAAGCGGAAGGAAGCGAAAGGTTTGATTACTCCCAAAGCACGTTTGAAAACAAAGAACTGTTCCGCAAGCCAGATTACTTAAGGAAAGCACCTCAAAGGGAAACATCAAGCGGGCTGTGAGAGAAACCTGCAACACGCTGTGGTATGTATGTTGAGAGACAGCTGGAGCTACAATTAAGCAAGAGTTCAAAACCTCTAACAGGAATTTTGGCTGAAAGACTGGGAAGCCACTGTAATTTAGCCATAAACCCATCTTTGGGCTGTTTCTAGGAGTGGGCAGCGAGACTGCAGCGATCCCACCTGAGACTCCAGCTTTTACCTCCTCTCATCTACGTCAGGCATCGAAACCTGCCTGACTGAATCACAGATGAATTTCGTAGACACAGAGGAACTCTGTTCCTATTTCAGAGTCTTCGGTGGTTGGTCAAGCATCGAAAAAGGCAGCACTCCTTCAGCAAGCAGTGATGGGGCTGAATGCAACAGGATTCATCAGAAGCAAGTGATGGTTATAATGTAGTGCCCTACACAAACAGGAACTGTGCTGCACAGAATACTGATCCCAACCCAGAAAGAATCACTGTGTCTGTGCTCAGAGGTCAGAAACAGCCCGAGAGGGACAAAATAATATCTTAATTGTGAATCCTTTGCAATCAATCTATTGTTGCAAGGAAAGCTCGTATGGAAATGAGACAGGCAAAGAAAGTCCTTTTATACACACAAAAATCAAGTCATGTTCAGAGGGTGACATACCTCAAGTGCCTCTTTGGTAATGGGGTATTTCTCCAGGCTGGAGATCACTTCCAGCACTGCCACCATGTTATGGATCTGCAACAAGGAAGACAAAGTCACTTCATCTTTCATGCACAGGTCTTCGTTATCAAATGTAATTTAAGACCTTCCACTTCATAATTGCTGGAAGCATTAATCACAAAATTGCTATCGCACTGTCTGGCTTTAGGGAGCTGATTGTCCAAGGAACAGGGACAAGGACACTTCGCTGACCTAGTTGGGAACTGCAGGAACTGTAACACACACACTTTTATGTAGAACTAGAGGAAACACTCGCAATGAAACCGGTGTCACTTGCTAGCAAAGGCTGAGACTCCTGTGAGACCCCCGGCCAAGGGATTCATGAACTGTACTCCAGCCTAACTGGAAGCATCAGTGCCAAGTGGTCCAAGACACGGGTTGCATTGGAAGTCCCACATTTACCCCTTCAGGCACTGCTCTGGATGCACCCAAGTCATTCAGAACACTGCCACCTCCTGCAGCCACCCACCGCGAGCCCAAAACCCCAGCTCCAAGCGCTCCACACTCCAGAGCAGAGGAAGCAAACGCTGTGCCCAGTAGGTGTCCTCAGCCCCCCACCCTGCGCAGGACCAGGCTGGGCCACCTCCAAACCCAGCACATCCCCATATGGAAGATGGTGAGGAGCCACTGCGTTAGGGCAAGTGTCAGGTTGTCTGATGGTCTTCACTGCCACGTCTCCGCACGCCCGGGGAAGCGCCACCAACAGCCGTTGCCACAGGATGTACCTCCTAAGCACAAGTGGGGTTTTAGTGGTTTCTAGGAGAACCCCCAGGCTATCGAGATCCAGCCCCATTCCCATTCCCTGCTGTTAAGAGCACGGAAAACCCGGCAATTTCTAATCCATCTTTACAGACAGATTTAAAAGATAAGCAAAGGAAAACCTGAATCACAGCCTCACCTATTGCTTAATTGTGTTTGTGACTCAAGTGGATGCAAAGTGATCTGAGAAACATCTCTCAGCAAGAGCCTCTGCCGGGAGCCCACGTTACCCTCAAGCCTCACCAGGAATGCACTCGCATAGCTCTGCCCTCCCAGCTACAGCAGAAGGCTTCATTTTAAGACTGCCAAGTTTGTAAGAATCAGCTTTTCCAAGTCAATTCCACCCCTTTCAAGATACAAGAGAATCGGGAGCTGAAATCTCTTCTGTGCAGAAAACCTTGTTCATGAACAAGGGTTTTTTTTCCACCAAACAGGATTGCTTCATGTTGCAGAGACTTGGATAAAGCTGTCAGCAGTGAAACACCAGGCCTGATGCTTAGATTAACTTGGCTCAAGCTTAGGTTTAAAGCCTGTAGAGGCTTTGAACGACTGTAACTCCTACAGGTTGTAAAGCCAGCTTCAGAACAAAGATGAATTCATTTGTCGTGGTTCTTTCTTCACCGAGCTACATTGCCTCTGCACCAAATCAAGCCCTACCGTCCAGTCAGGCCTGGTAAAGCTCCGCTTAAGCACTTTTTAACACGCCTTCTTCCTCACACTGCCCTCAATGCCTAGAGGGACCAACTTGGCACCACAGCTTAAGGAACAGATAACACCATGGGGGATTTCCCGCTTTCTAGAGCAGGACTACCTAGGATAGCTCAATTCTGGGAGTTCCCAAACTTTTTCAGACTTGCGCAGTATGAGGCTCTCCTTCCCAACACATGGTTTAGACTACAAATTACCAAGGTTCTGTGCACTGTGCAGAGCAATAACTAGTCCAACTATTTTGGCAGTTGCTGGTAATCCCCAAATATTCATTATCTACATGACAAACTGATGGCAAAACCAGGATTAAGTCTCTCAAAAGGTCAGGATGGGGAAAGTGACAGGCTCACGTGTACACACTCCTACAGGAAGGTGAAACTGCTCAGGGAGTTTCCAGCAGCAGCTTTGCCTTTGTTCAATACACCCCAATACACGTACATGGATGCCCCCGGCTGCTCCATCACCTACCAGGGACTGGGCTGTACCACAGCTGATAAGACTGTTCCTTCATCCCTCCTTTGAGGGACACGTGGTGCCTAGTAAAGGCAGTGAAAGCAGCCTTACACCACCGAATCTGTGCTCTTCACTCAGCTCCTGGTAGAACACAACCCATCCACTGCAGATTCTTCACACAATTGGAACCTATTGAAAACACATCATCACACTGGAGCAATCACTGCAAGGCGCATGAAGGCTCACACTCAACATCAGCTGCCAGAAGCTCCTCTCCTTTTCCCCTCTCTTTGACCTGCAGGGAAGCAGGGTTCTTCTAAAAAAGTACCATGTTCAACAACTTCTCTACCCTGCCCCGATAGTTTTGTGTTGTCTTCTTGGTATGCTTCATCCAAACTGCCAGAAAGGGCAATAAGATACTATTATACATAAAATTATATAAGTATTATATGTATTATATACAATTCTATATATCAGTATTATATTATATGTATAATAAAAACCATATTCACCCATTTCAAACTAACACGGCCTATCAGATTTCCTGTGGTGCACTTAAACACCATGATGAACACAAGGCGGCCTCCCAAAACACCTCAAGTACCACCTAGTCCACATGAAGACACCTATTTTGTTAACAGCAGCACATGAGTATTGTGCACCAGTGTCTTTACCTTAAACCATCTGTTACTGGCTTAATAAAACAGATGTATTGTCACATAACTGACAAGAGACTGGGGTTATGAAGCCTGTCAGGACATCCTCCTGCCCTGAGCAGCACCAGAAGTGACAATTTATAATGCAAGTTGCTATTAAAATGCTTATTGGCTACACAGCAGACAAAGTGACCTACAGCAGAGCGGGCCAAGGGAGCTGGTTCAGACTGATTGCTCAAGTCAGGGTCTCAGGGACATGCACATCGCTTTAGGTTCTATTTGCCTTTGTTTAGTTCTGCTGCAACCCATTACTACCCCCCAAAACCAAGAACCTCCATGAAGCGACCCCAGGGCTCCGCATTTAGCAGCTTGCAGAAAACAGAGAACAATCCAGATGGCATTTCGAATTCTCCCGTGCTATTGCCACCGCCTGGCACACGGACCGAGTCGCTCGAAGTTTACCGGAGAACATCTGCTTTGAGCCATGGGCAGTAATCCTCTCCAGCCAACCCTAGTGACAGCCGCAGAAAACAAATCTTATTTAGTCCACGCAAGCCTCCTTAAGTCATTCAGCCACACTCTGGAGCTTACTGCTGCTACCCGAGAGCTCTTCCAAGTAAAGCACGGTGTGCTTTCACTACAGCCTCGCACAAAAGCGTGGCGTTTCTGCGCACACTGGAAGAGATCAAGAGGCTTCGTTTCCTTTCTATTCAACTGACGCCTTAATCCTGTTTTAGCTTTTACAAATCAAGACCAATTCAGTAACTGACTTCAGGGTAAGTGTTCCACGGCAGGCCTAAAGGAGAAGCGGGGTGGGGGTGGAGGTTTAAGGTACAGCCCTTCCTTGCCACCTCCTGCTGCCTCCTTCCCGGTTGATTTGACAACAGCAGCAAACTCAGCACCCCCAGGAGCTGGCAGCACCGCTCCCACGGGCTGGGATGGGGTTTACACTGGACTAGCACGCTCACATGTTGAGCTTTGATCCTCTTCCTTCATCCACAGCTACGAGACCAACCCAGGTACTAAGCTCAATGGTACAGCTCCCATTCTTCCTCAGGACTGCCTCAGCACAGGGCAACCTGCATCTCACCCCGTTGCTGCCTCAGAAGCAACTGGTACAGACACTCAAGTGCAGTCACTTCAACAAAGCAATTCTGGTTTCTTGGCTTGTTTTTGGATGTTTCATAGGGATGTTTCTGAAGACCTCTACATGCGTGACCGGACCGTGACAGATGACAAACCAGATCCGAGTTAGCACAGATGATGCTCAGCATTGCACAGGCCTGGAGAAGGAGAAGCAATTTCCTTGTAACTTGAAAACCTGAGCACTAGGTGCCCAATTACAAAGGAAAGTGCAGTGGAACTGCTGATACAGCCAGAAAATCTGGCTAGAAAAGCTCTTTTTAATCACTCGCATCAAGTTCACAGAACAGTGCTAAAAGGCATCTGTTGACACAGGATCATCATCCATATGGGTCACATTAGTACCTGTAAAGAGTGATTAAACTTGGCCTAATATGTCTGGAGTGCCTAATCATAGAAACTTGTCTAAAGCATAACACTGTTGTCCTCCCAAAACCACAGGTTAGAATAATCAGGCTGACTCCATTGTAGGCATTTTGAAACAGATTATAGAGCCAGATGATAAGACACTGCCTTTGAGAGAATGGACTTGGCAGCACACCTCAACCTCCTCACATTATATTAAATGCTCAATATTCAAAGTACTCAAAGCATTCAAGTTTCAAAGTACTTCTGTAACCTTTGCCCACCTGTAGCACCAAAGCAAGTTTACCAAAGGAAGCAGAGAAGTGCACCCACCATGGAACACAGACCAGGGCTCTCTTTTCTACACATACAAATCCAACCCTCAACTGCCAAGTTGGACGTTTTCTGTTGGCAGCATCAGGAATGCAGCACGGTCCATACAGAAGGTCACATTTGTGTCATTTTTTATTGTCTTCCCCTGCTCTTAGGGACAGCAGCATTTTATCAGGTAGTTATAAAACCTGTCCTATATCTATGGGCCATGCAGATCACAGAATCGTATCCTCAGGTAGCCCAGGAAAATCCCAGGTTCAAGGTCAGTATTGCTGGAGCTGCCAGGAAGGCAGAGCTGATTCAGAAGGAGGCAGAGCATCAGCAGGATGAGCAATGCCATCCACTCACATTTATCTTCTCCAAAGCAGTGATGACTTGCGCTGGAGGCACCAATTCCTGCCCCAGGCTGGGGTATCTAAACAGCATCACATCTTGCCCCCAGCACTGCATTTGTATGAAAGCTGCTTCATTGCATAATAATCCAAAAATTGGAATAAGAAGTAAGAGGAGAAAAGTTGCTGTTCATGGGAGGCTTTATTTAAATGCAGCAGTGGAAATACAGCAGCACAGTGTTTATTTAGCACATCACATAGGATGCTTCAGATACCAGATGCTAAC